TCGCAATAAAAGGCTGTCATTCTATGGTTTTCTCAGAATCTCTAGCTCGCAGTTGAGCTAATCATGCTAGTAAAGGTTGTTTTCAAGTTTGTGATGCATAGTGCAAGGAGATTAAGGTGTGTGTCCTCTTCAGATCTCGTTAGATGTTCTCGTCGAATATTATATTTGCGCATAAATCTGTTCAATGTATGAACACGCTTAGAAAAAGCTTATCTTAATTTCAAGACGCCCTTCATGGGTGAAATTGCTTTCAGAAAAATGCAATTTATCGCGCAATTTTATCTTGAAAGTCAAATGAGCCGCGTTTCGTTCTATGCGCTTAACAATGAGTTTTTTGAGCAATGGGTGGGATCTAAAAAATGGGATTGCTTTTTTGACTCATTGGACTTCCTATCATTTGCATTTCTATGGGTTCAGTCCCTTCAATTACTGGCTCTTCATGCTTGACTGAACGGTCGTTGATCAGCGCCTTATCTGAACTAGCGCCATTGTAAAAATAATAACACGCCAGCAATGGGCGCAGACTGAGATGAAACACCTGTGTAATCTCCGATTGTATCACCACTTGATCCAGTAGGTGCCGAGTTGGTTATTGTGCTCCGTTTCTCATATGTTTTGCAGATTGCTGTCAAATACGTGAAGTTGTGCATTAGCGACTTCGCTTCTACCCCATATCGCTCTTAAAAGTATAGCTTTCTTGGATCTCTTTTCTGATTTTTTTCTAATGCTAAAAGTCAGGAAAACTATCTTGTACTCTTCTCTACTTTTGCAAGCTATAGTACTTGTTCTTTTTTGTTTCAAGTCGTTTTTTATTTTCGGAGGGCGAGGTATTGCAGAATAATGTGGATTTTGTTCTGCTCTCTCATGCTCATGAGATCCTCGACCATTCCCTGGATAAAAGTCCCTTAAAGGCAGTGTCCGGGCAAAAACTCGATTTTGAGATTTTGTGCTTACTTGGGCCTATTCGCTACGCTGAATCCGAAAATGCACATTGTAGAGCGCGAAAATGGCGAAAAACGGCTTTAACACAGGAGGGAAATTAGCAGGTGGGCGGGGCCCTCCCCACGGTGAATTCACGCTCCCAGCTTCGGGGGCGATCTTTTTGATTCCGGTTTCAAGTCAATCATTCGCACTTGACCGGTAGCGATGTTAGGACGGCTAGCGGAATCGAGAAAATCGCTCCGGGAGCCAGGAGCGTGAAATCGCACTGAGGAAAGCCCCGCCCACCTGCTGATTTCCCTCCTGTGTTAGGGCCCTTTTTCGTCGTTTTCGCGCTCTCCAATGTGGATTTTCGTATTCAGCATAGCGAAAAGGCCCGGGTAAGCACAAAATCTCAAAATCGAGTTTTTGCCCGGACACTGCCTTTAAGATGAATTTCGGATTTTCGTGAAAAAACGTGGAGAAAAATTAATGGTTGATCGCCCGCCCATAGTTTTGCCATTCCGAGAATCAACGAAAGTGAAAGTATTTTGCTCTTCCAAATGTGTTTCTAGTAAGTGTAATAATTGAATTTGTAAAAAAAAAGCTTCTGGAATAATGGAATGTTTTGAATGGAGAAACGTGGTAATTCTTTTCGACATTTATGGCCGGATGTCAGTGCCGTAGCAGGAAACTGCTGTCAGGGATGGGCGGACTTTTCAGAAGTTTTCCAGTGACATTCCTGTGTGTGTTGTGTGTGTGTGTGGGGGGGGGGGGGGAAGGGGGAAGGAGGGATGATGGTACACATTTTCAATTTCTTGTCTGTTTGTACTGAGGACAGTGTTTGGATGAATATTTTAGAATAAAATCGCTATGAGTCCCCCCTTCTGAATTTTTTATCGGACACTGAACATATAAGCACTTCCAGACAGCTAATTCCTATAAGGCAGGCGCTATACTTCTCGAGGAGTACAGCACCCCTTCGATCGATATGCATCAAATACGTGTAAAATCAGCGATTTTTGTTGCTACGACTAGCGATCGCCACAAAATCGCCGACAAAAATCTTTGAGATCCTTGAGGAGTATAGCGCCTGCCTAAAATCATCTCTGGAAACCCAAATCAGTTTTTTTTGTCTGTTAATCAATGGCAGAGTATTACTAATTAGATGATATGGAGGTGTTCGCTGGCATTTCCCTCCCAATTCCTTTTTTTAGTTTGCGTTTGGTACACTATTATACTGCCGCGCTGCATAATGATGTCTAGCACACATGCCTTTCGTCGCTACCGTAACTATGCAATCTCATTTTTGTCTTTCCTGACTTTGCTGACTCTTGCTAATGTATGTGCACTCAGGGCAGGATTCATATATCTTTTCGCATTTGCTCAAATTGCGTGACATGCTCATGCTGGCTAAGCTGCAAGGAGATTCTCACATCCCTTGCCAGCATTCAATGTTTCCTGTCTGATTTCCAAATGCTTTCGTGACTGGTTTGCCACTTGAGAAGGTGTATGTATGTGCTTTTGATATGTACTTTCTTAGCTGTCGATTTACGAAAATTGCCGTCATCCGTCTGTCAGAACTCTCGTAAGCGATTCTGCACTTATTCAGCACTCTTCGATATCACTCCCACTGGCATAGCACTGGAACACTGAGCCGCTTCGCTGCTAGCAGAAGCAGCTGCGACGCTTCGAACCTTCCCAGGCCCTACCACACAGATCATCGTCAACCGTTGTTCATCGTTTCATTCATGATGACTGTTCTTGTCGACTCGGAAGCGCGTGAATCGCCATCGCCGCTGCCTGCGAAAAGTCTAATGCAGCGTTTTCGCCGGCGACTTCTCAGCAAAGATGGGAAATTATGTGAGCTAATGAGCCATTTTTTTGAATGCGCTAAGATAGCAATGTATAGACTTATTCAACGAACTTGTAATATATAAATTAACACGTGGTTACTATTCGTGATTTCACGCAAAAAATTCAACAATGCGAAAACACGACTTATTCCCTTCACCATATTTTAGTATTATCTTATGCATCCTAGCCTGCTTGTTCTACCTTTCGTAGCAAATCGCATTGAGTAATGTCTTCAACATTAACTAAACATATGCTTTCATCAAGGTATTGCTCCAGATCCCATTCTGTATTAACTCGCTCAGATAATGAACCTCAAATTTTAGAGATTTTGTGTTTTACTTAGCTGAAATGTCTCTATGTTCTTTTGGTGTTGCAGTAGTTCAACGGCTTAACGTCTGAAATTTAATAGTATAATTAAGAAGCCAGTAAAATTTTTCTTCTCTGGAATCTTCTGTATTTCTGGACAAAGTCTCAGATTTTGTATCTCAATCAGGGAAGCTGTACCTGGCATTTTTTGATTATCAATTATATTTTGAGAAGTTCATTGCCAAAGTTTAGTAGTCTCTTGGAAATTAGGAACTTACTATTTTTTTTTTGAGCTAGGTGTCCTGTTCATTTTTTACTTCTAAACGCATTAGAGCATTTAGAAGGGGAAACTGTTCTGTGCAGCTACATATAATGGTTTATTTGAGACTTTGAAATTTTTTGAATTTCTTATCTGTTGATGTTTTCATTTTGCGCTTGAACAAAGCACCCTGCCAATTTTTTTGCCTTCAAATCCAATAATTGGAATACTTGGAATGGATATCCTATATTGGAAGCGGCTTGCAACCTGCCATCTAATAGTTTCTCTAATAAGAGGCAGCGTGAAATATACATCATGTAAGCCAACGTGCATTTTATAAGTTGATTTTCTATAATGCTTAAAGATTTTGAACTTTTACAAAGTACTCAATGATTGAGGTAATTGAAGTTCCAGCCTACCATTGTCGACAAATGGAAGCGAAGTGTGTTAGCGGAGGCGAAATCTTACTTGGCATTCGAGAGCATTTGTGCTAGAGTTGTTGAAGAGCTCGTTTGCGTGTATGCGCATGTCCTCATACGCACCCAAACGTCGAAGAGATGTTTTTTTTTCTGGGTTAGAGACGAAGAATGCCATTATATTACAGAACACTGCGTTTTTTGGGTATCGGGCTATTTTTGTTTTGCGAGGCTGTGGGATTGCTTTCAAGCTTTACCAGTAGGACGATTAGGATAGCTTTGTTTCCCTTGTGGCCTCTTTGAAACATTTCACAGAGTGCATGAGTCTGGAAAATGGTGGAATTTGCAGGAGCACGCATTTTTTTTCAAACTAGAAGAAAAGTCAGTGTATGAATTGTGCGAAGAATGCATTATCCCTTCTAATTCATTTCTCGCCCATGATTTGTCTCAGATTTCGCTGATTCGTTTTACATTCACATTCATTTGCAATAGAAACCAAAGGTATGCACGACCTATTTGTAACCTTATGAACCAGCACACTGCGCGCGTTGAAGGCAGCGTCCAGGCAAGTCTGGACACATGGGGATCTCACTTGGATAGTAATTTTGGGGCCCTAACTAAGCCACCGCCCAACCGGCAGCTCAGGTAGTGCTCTAACGGCTGAGGTATACGCCTTCAAACTGGCCCCCATTATCGTATTTCGCATGGATTCATGGCGCAACGTGTGGGTCCTCGCGCGAAACTGCCATGAATCCACGCGAGTGCGATGCTGGGATCCAGTCTGGAGGCGTATATCTCAGCCGTTAGTGAGCCCTGCGCTTCCGCTTGGGCAATGCCTTAGTTAGAGCCCCAAAATTATTTTCCACGTAAAACCCCCATAGGTCCAGATCTCCTGGATCCAGATCTGCCGGTCCTGCTGCCTTTAAGGATTGCCTTACTAGTCGGCAGTTAAGATTTTTCTAGCTGAACGACTGAGGAAATGTCTACTGCAACCTAATACATATCCCATCAAACCAAAAGAATGAAAAAAGGAGAATTTTTCGAAAATTCACAATTTCTAGTCTTACAAGTCGTGAAGTAGCGCGTATGGTGTGCAATAGCACATCAAGTTACAAATGACTAGAAGACAAGATGTCGAACGAAAGCGGATAAATTGTAAGAAAATGTAGTTGCGGTGGAAGAGGCTTTATTTTATGGGGCACCACAAGTTGAAAGGATTTTTAGATCATAAGTATTTTTTTCAGGTTCATTGCCAGCTACCCCTCGCAATCATGACAATGGCGGACAAGTGTCACCTCGTCATCATCCCCTGTACGTAGATACACAACTAGCTAACGGAGTCGGTGAAAAACGACGAAGTCCCGTTACCAGCGTCGTGGATTTTGTCCGTGGACGCAGTCGAGCCGCATCGGTTGGTTCTTTTCTGCTTCATTAGCTGATTAGGGTGACTCTGAGCGAAAGGAAATGTGATTAGAGATGATTGCACTGGAAGTTTTTACCCATCCCACAGTGTCGAGTTAGTGTTGCAGAGAAGATGAAAAAGCGGTTTCTCATGTTGACTGGAATATGATATTTGTACTTTTGGGCTATGAAATCATGCAAGTAACTTGTTTGTGGTTGGGGATAAAAATAATTTAGTGATTTTTTGAGCGTTTGAGTGGCACCCTTTTGCAAATTCTCACGGCTGTAAGCACTTGAAAGAAAAGTCTGGAAAACCTTCAAAAATTTTGTGTAGAAATGTTTCTGTCGTTCTCCCTCCCTTTCAAAAAAAAAAAGAGAAAAGAATTACACGAGTGGCACTGTTAGTATCCGGTAAACCCATTGGACCAAAACAATCTTGACTTCAAGTGGCTCGTCCGCCAATGTCATTCTGTGAGATCAATTGAAGTATAATGCTATGCACATGGGATACATAATTGAGTGGATTATATCGAGCTAGAGCTGAATATTTGAGGATTTCCCTATGACTTTTCTGTCTCTTCAAAATACTCTTTTTCGTGAGATTTGCAAAATGCAATAATACATGATTGCACATCTATAAACTGACTTTTGATTTCGCCTGCTCGTAAGTAGATTTTCAATATGCTTGAAGCATTTAATCTTCAAACGGGTTGGGGGCTCAGTTTAAAGACTTGAAAAGTATCATGGGCAATCTATAAGTGCGTAAGAGTTGAGAACGTTTGGTATTGTGACTCTAATAGGTGCTTTCAAAGAAGTCCGTTTTGAGAAGCTATCAAAGATAAGTTACTTTCATGATGCATAATTCACGTAAACCACTTTCAAAAATTTTGCTACACATTTTCGGAGAACGCCCCTCCCCTCTTCCTCACGGTCCGCCACTGTTAAATATTCATAAAACATACAACACAAAGAGGGATAAAATATTCGGAGTGACCTGACATTCTATTTCCTAGTCAGAATATTGATTCAATACTATCTGTTGCTTATGAAAAACTCATTTCTTTCACCAGCAAAGAAAGGGTTTGCAATGTAGCACAACTTCCCACATCAGCTGATTAGCATCTTCCTCTTCACTTTATTTTTATGTAAATTATGTACAGTAAGCTAATGGTACTCATAAATTCTAGGTGTGCTCTTCTGGACCAGCAACACCTCCATCGCCAACGACAGCGTTGTCAGTTTCTGCTCGTGCATCTGCTTCAACGGATGGAGGCATGCCAACTTGTAAGTGGGTGATTAGCTTACCCAAAAATTCAGTAATTTCGATACAGGGGAAAAATTAGGGGGGGGGGGGGAGTGTCCAGGCAAGTTTGGATACATTGGCTCTTTCAGTGTTAACTGATTCGAAATCTTAACCAAGTCATTGCCCAAGTGGCAGCTCAGGTGAGTCACTTATGGCTGTAGCTTCAGACTCCAAACCCGTACCGTAACCATTAACCATACGCAAGATGCTGATTGGCTCGCTCGCATGCATCACGGTTTGGGCTATAATTTAGAGTTGAAGTTCGCGCTAAGCAAGCATAATTTCTAATTCGCTCAGAAAACTTCAAATTTAATTTAAATTGAGCCGGACCGTGAACTTCCCGAGCAGACCAATGAGAGCGTGGAGTACGGTAGATTACGATTACGGTTTGGACTGGAGTACAGAGCTGGATATCATGGACACTGATGAATCATATGAGCTGCCGCTGGGGGCGATCCTCCAAGGCTTACCAAACAGTACCTATAGAAGAAGTCCACCCCTAAATATGTTTGGATACTAGTATAGGAAATGCGTCCTTTTGTTGAATATTCGACTGATATTTGCTATTCAAATTTTTCTTGTTTTCGTTTTTTTTTGTTTTTTGTGTTTTATGCTTTATGTTTTCTTTTGCAGCGCCAATGTTCTCACCTCAAACTCAGACGCGAGGTAATAGTCGTCCACATTTGTCAAGGTTATATCGTCCTGGAATGCGTAGCTTGGATTCAGGATTAGATCTTAGCTCACCAACTATAGGACATACGGCATTGCTCATTAAGGAGGTATTCATTCGAGATTATAATGATTTTTTGCAAATCGTAGGTTACATTTTTCTATTCTTATCTTATTGTGCCGAAATGCCATGCATGGATGTCAGAAGTGGAGGTGGAAAATACATCATCGTAAAAGTACAAAGTCAAGGACATTGCTGAAATATCCAAAGAGGAGGATCATTGTCCGAAGGATACATTTGAGAGAGGTGTCCCACTACGACTCTGCTTGGAGTACCGTAGCTTTACAGAAACTATGTAACCTGAAATGACGGCATGAGCTTCCATAAGTGCAAAGCTTGTGTAGACTCTATGTGGATGAATCGCTGTGCTTTCTCAGTATCAGCTGACTTTGTTGATATTTCCCAATCCAGACACTAGCTAATTGGATTGCGTAAGGGCTGGCTTTTGAAATACACTTTCTGTAACCTTCATAGTGTGAGAAAATGTCATGGGAGCAAATTTGATGTGCGTCGGTGCTTTTTGTGATAACGCTTCATCGACTTTTCATACTAGCTGTGAATCTCTGAATATGTTGAACTCGCAGATCAAGTCGAATTTACTGAGATCTTTGACTCCTGGTAAAGAGGATTCCATTGATAATTTAGCACAGCCTTTTATCCTTGAAGAGTTGTTTGTCAATACAACATGGTCTGTGAAATCACTTCTTCTTTGTGTCGCCTGGGCACGTACCTGACAACTTCTAAGCAGTTAAACTTACAGCAAAAATATTTAGGGAGTCCCAACCGAACACCATTGCCCAAATACAGCTCCTATGATCTATTTGCGGCCAAGAAATTCAAATCCAAACTTTCGCCCATACCGTATCTTTTACAAACCAACAATCATGTGCTGTATGTACGTCGCTTGAAAAGAGTACGGTCTGGACGAGATAGTCTTGAAACTTTTGGCTGCGAATATATCAATTTAGTTGTTACCCAGGAAAAGGCCTAGTTAGGGCCACTTTCGTTTTTACATACTAAGTCTAAATGACGAGACATATGTGAATTCTGTCTCTTGAAATAGGTCTTCTCCTGACCAAAGACATTTTTTCTTCATCTAAATAGGAAGCTGGTCTATTTCATCAATCAAGCCTTTTTTGTTAGATACATCGTTTTTGTTTTGCAAAGTGATTGAATTCCTTTTTAACTCTACATGTGCCACATATGCCAGGTAAGCTCAGTGCAGTAGTCTTTAAAAGAGCATCCTCCCTCACCTTTCATTTGACTCTTATTCACGCGCTATCCGTTTTTAGATGCTCAATAATCCCTTCGGTGCGATGACATTTTATTGCGACTTCTGCATATCCTCATGCAGGAAGATCCTCTCTCTCTATCTGTCAAATCTTCTCGGTCATTTCTGTTGCACTCTCCATTTTCGTATCCTCATCTAGCCATTAATAAAACCTGAAGTCCTTGTCCGTGCGGGTGTGAATGTGTTCTTCAAGCGGCAATCGATCGTGCGAAGTCCGAGCAGCGCGTACCACCCTCTCTTTCGTCGTTAGTAATGTCCAAAAAGCCCTGCTGTGTGCACACATTTTTTGTTTCTGCTCTGCTTCAGCTTACCCTCGCTTAGTTCGGCTATCCATCATCCGAAGTGCGCTTCAGACGCGCAAATGTGGAAGTTCCTTTGCTGTTTTTGCGTCGCGATGTTCGATTCATAACCGAGCGCGCCTCGTCGTGCTGCCTAAGGGGAAAGCGATTATTTTCTCTCCGAATTAGTCGTTAGTCTTTGCCGCTTATCAGGCTGATTGCCGCGCTGATTATCTGTCAGCAATAAAAAGTTTTCTAATCGTGTTCAAAGTCGTAAACTTATCTCGTACAACCTTGGTAACTGTGTGATTTTTCGTCTTGACTTTTGAAAAATAGCCTGTCCATCATTTGGGGGATGGGACTAGGGTGGATTTAATTTTCTCCCAGTTCATGGTTAATTTGTAATTCTTGTGTGACATCCTATTTTTAGCAAATCTTCTATGCATTCTGACTACTTTCATAACATCAAAGATGTACTACCTAGCTAATTACGTATGTGCCGTGAAGGCGGTATCCTGGCAACTTTGAGTACTAGGATTGGGCAGAGGACGGACTATATGTTGCCATAAGGGTCTAATGCAACAAATGCACACTTCTTGCATGCATAAGAGTGGCGTATTTGTTGCAGATGACCGCGCACGACCTCCGGCGACATGCAGTCCTCTGCCCACTTGCGTCCCTTGTGTGGAGACCCAATCGCCAGGTTTTGTAGCTGGTAAGATTCATTTGCGGCCGAGAATTTCAACCCTAAACTCCGTTCCATACCGTACTCGAGAAAAGAAACTTGGTCCCGCTACGGTCTGGGCGGGAGTTCAAAGTGGACTTTTCTCCTCGCTTGGGTATTGATTTAGCTAAGGCCTCTCAACTAGTTTCCACGTACAATCAAACCGGATCGCCTGAATCCTGACACTTAAGTCACTGTGTAGTATCTTTGCGACTATTTTCCACATTAACCTCCTTTTTCATTGCCCGTTGACTATTTCTCTAATTACTAATGATGCACTTTTGCCTTGACTTGCACATGTGCCCTAACAAGAATCTGCAAGAAACTTTTCTTCTCTGGAAATTGGGTTTCACTAGCAATCAGTCAGGCTTGCATTCACTCCACCCCCCCCCCCCCCATTCCAGCCTGTCATCATGTAATGATGTCGTAGCAGCAATGACACACGACGAGAAAATTGCGAAATGCTGCTCAGACCCCATCATGTTTTGCACTCGCTTGCACGCTGTGTTGGCGTTATGGCTTATCCAGTCTAGTTCCCTATCCATTCAAGCATAGCAAGTACAATGTCATAACTTTGACCAAATGCGAATGTAACTTCGCCTGACCAACCGGTTATCGTCACGATTATGACGCAAAAACTATCGAAATCGGCGATTTTGTATCTTTTCGTACTGTGCAATCAGCTGCCGGACTGCATGGCTGTGTAAAGATGCTATTGAGTTATAAATTAGTTGTCCATAAATTAACAAGTCATTTGACGTTCCTATTTTTCTTCTCTTTTCGCAAGCACTCTGCTATGTTTCGGTCGTTTTTTGTTGAATTCTTCCTTGTACGAATAGTATGCTCGTCAAGAACTCGGCAGTCCTTTATCCCAATTAGCACTTTTTGTTTTCTGATTAGTTAATGTAAAAGATTTTGAACAAAGTGCAAGGTGATTGCCCTTGACGACAATGTCCATCTGTGAGCTTCCATATCTTTCTCCTCCGAGTACTTGTCATGGCAACACTCGAAATCGTCTTTCTTCTTTCTTTTTCTAAAAATAAATAGCTAATAATAAGTCTCTAGAGCACAGCCTTGTACTATTTTTGATTGTTATTGTTGGTTCGTCGAAAATGCAGAAAGCGGAAGTGTCAGGAATTTTCGGTTGCGTGGTCACATATAGAAGTGTTCTGAGCATGTTTTCTTACATCATCTTACCCGAGGTTTGCGTCTTCGAATGTGGAAATTCAATGTAAAGAATCTTTTTTTTGCAGGCTGCTACCTTTGTTTGAGCTAACAAAATTCTACAATATCGCGTCATATAGAGGGATAACAATGGCAACCATGTACATTTGCATTCTTTCGTTGTGGCTGAGTGCTCTGCAATTTTTTTCGCACATAACTGAATTCTTTTGAGAATGCTTTCAGTAATCCTTTAACAATGCGTGGGGAACGTTTTTTAGACTCGTTGCAGAAAGGCGCCTTTGTGCTAGCTAGGAGGCTTCTTTTTGCAAATCCCCGGATTGCATAATTCAAAGCTTTAGACGTTGTCGATATTAGTGTGCCATTTTTAGCTGCAAAGCTGTCAAGGGAATTGTGTGCTGCGAAATGCAAAGTAGAAATTTCTTTTATCTTCTACACTGGTTTGGTTTCAGGTTTCAGACTGGGAGCTAATTGAAGGAGATGTTTGTGTTTCATAGGCCCTCTTTTTTCTCTTTCTCTTGTCAAAATGTCTCTAATTATGCTAGTGCCATTTTGGACTTAATTTACCTTGCAAAGCTTTGTGGTTAGAATTTTGGAAAAATATGTTCTTTCAGACAATTTCATTGAATTTGCTCTTATAGGCTTTTGTGTTGGGCAATAAGGTATATAAATCATAACCTATACAGCATAGGAAGCATTAGAATTCTCTGCAAGGCTCAGATTGAATAATATGGCATATATCATGTCACATCTACCTTCGATTCTGTTTGGCGTTTTTAATTGGAATATCCTGATTTCAAAAACCATCAATGAATTTACCACTTGAAAGTTTGCTATGCACTCTTATTAGAAAGCTGTTGATATGCTTTATTTCATTTATCCCAGTCAGGGTATACTGTAAAGCTAATGTGTTTTTTGCACTATCTTTCGATATCACAATACAGCTGAGCGATTCCCGCACAATGTTTCTACCCACACCCATCAGAGCGTTACGGAATTGTGATGCGGCGCAAAGCGACCCCATTCCCTCGTTCCAGTTTGCCTTCGTCGAACTACTTGCCCTTGGTTTGCGCCTTCTTCAAGTAGTCGCGTCGGTAGAGTTTGTACTAGTTTTCGTCTCAGACCGCAAAGGTTGCTATAACCTTTGGTTAGTGTACGTATCTGTGCTGTAGCTATGATTGTCATTCCCCAAGGAAAGGATCACTAGTGCTTTCCTATTTTGGTAGCCTCTGCTCGCAGATTCGCTCTATGCATTAGGGATTCGCAATGAATTTTGAAGATCGATGGCCATTTGCATTCAGTCAGTCAACAAACCCTGCCAGTCGCTCCACTCCGTTCGCTGTTTGCTCGCTCAACGCCTGCGATTCGCCTTTTATTGTGAGCTCAATCGTCAATCGGGCAGTTTGTAGTATGTAGATGTGTATAGATCGGACATAGACATCCACCTCGATGAATTGATCCAGAGGATGCTATGTAACGGTTTTATGTGGTCTGATGCCGTATCTCTGTTTCAACTTGTGTTCTAGCAAGATATAATGATCAGAAACTGATAATTAATCTGTCCATTGCGCGAA